AATCTTTCTGGAAGAGAGATTGAAGTTTGTTTCTATTGTCTGAACCACACGCATATCAAAATTTTCCCAGATTTCATCATCTATATTAGGGTTTGACGGTACTGATAATGGTTCATTATTTTCGGCCTCTTCAATATGTTCTGCCGTAGTCATTTCTTTTACTTCATCTAAAACCAAAGCCATTGCTTTATCCGCACAGCTCTCTATATCAAAGGCTTTTTCTTATATCTGGAGTCAAGAATTGTGGCGTTTGCTTGTGTGTAATTTCATCATTTTCTAAATAACCAAAATCTTTGACTTATATTTCTCAACAAGATTTGTTGCAAATTCTTCCCGGCATTAGTTGTTGGCGGTCTTTTATTTATAGAATTTTTTACCCCTTGAATTATAGGTATTACACTGGATAAGGTGGGATAAATTCACCTGACAATGTTTGGTTGCAATTTCCAGTGGCTGTAGAATTTTCACACAATTCTAAAATAGCCCACTCAGCAAAACTCAGGTTTGGTGGAGGAGAATCTATTAAGGCAAAGCTGCACATAGTGCAACTTTAACCCTCAATAACTTTTCGAACATATAAAAAGTAGAATTCCATCTAGTTGGTATATCTTGTGATAAAGTAATAACATCTAAGTTCATTTGCTTTTGTAATCCTTGCAGAATACCTGACGATTTCACACTATGTTTAAAATGTGCTACAATCGCTCTAGCTTTTGTGATTGCGATAAGAAGTTCACAATTTTCCTTGTCTTTATCTAAACAATTTTTAACAACTAAATTTAATGTGTGAGCTACGCACGATAAATTTTTTTTATTCAAAAATAAAGTAATAGCTTTCTTCATATTCGGCGCATTATCAGTCACAACAATATCAACTTTATCAAAGATTTGCCATTCAATTAACACAGATTTCAAACCATTAGAAATATTTTGTGACGTGTGATTTTCTCTGAGTTCTATTGTTGCTATGACTAATGAATTTAATTTGCTATCTTTAATAAAATGAGCAGATGCGCTAAGAAAACTTTTCTGGCTATCGCTACTCCATATATCAGTCGTAATTGCAATGTTTTCGACAAATGTAAGTTTTGCCTTTGCTTCCGCACTATGCATTTCATATTTTTCCTCTAACATACGCGTGAGTACTTTTCTGGAAGGTAATACATAATCTGAATTTAGAATTCGCGAATACTTTTTAAATCCATCATTTTCCACTATCTGTATCGGTTGCATATCTAAAAGAATCATGTTCATTAAAGCATCATCGCCAGCTTTTTGATTAATTTTACCAGGAATAGTAAGCCGCATTTGTTTCAAACGTTTTGCAGGAGCCTCAGTACTCAAAATTGGTTGTGAGACATTTGGCACTACAGGTTGCGTTATAAGATTAACCACATTAACAGCAGATCTCACATTTTGAAATGTCACTGGATTAGCTGCTACAGCTTCACTATATTCAATAATATGTTTGTTTTTTAAATGATTAACGAGAGTGGTTGTACTTCCAGATTTACAATAGCTTAATGAGCACAATTTACACACCAGTTTATTATTATCAGCATTAATTGTGAAAAACTGCCAAGCGACGCTTGATTTAGTGGGAGGCATTTTTAATAATTATAATTAGCCAGTAAAAACAAAATCTATGTGAAAATCGGGAAAAGCAAACACACACTGACTCAATAAAGTAACGATTGTAAACACAAATTACTATCGATTAAAATATATTACAAAAATTATTAAATAATATTTAATAGACGGTCAAATAAATTTTCAAATGAATTTACAGTAAAATATAACCAAGCACTTCTCTTTCACTAAAGCATATAAAACAATATTCTTAATCTTACGTTGAACGAATGAATGTTTATATTATTGATTGTTTAGATCTAATCTAAACAGGGGGCTGAATCTAACGTCTTATGAATGACTTAAAAATCAATCCACTACTGTAAAGATTAATAATATTTCATTTGTGTGAATTTGCCATTACTTACATAATTAAAATATGATAATTTTGTATGTGTATGAAACTCGTTGTGTAGTTGATAAAATGTTATAACATTTAAAATCTAAAACGCGTACTTATTATTATCTAAATGAGTTTTTTGTATTTCATGAACAAATTGGCTCTCAGCGCTTAGTCAAAAATAAACAAACACGCAAGTCGATAAGTCGATACGCTAAGACACAGACACATGTTTCGAACTCATATGGTTCAAGCCGCTTGAACTCGGGATGATTCGGTTTGAGTCATATAAACTCGTATGAATTCATAGCGACTTGAAGTCGAAATAAGTCGGTTTGAGTCTTAGGAACTCGGATAAATTCATACCGACTTGAAGTCGGGATAAGTCGGTTTGAGTCATAGGAACTCGAATCAATTCATAACGACTTGAAGTCGGGATAAGTCGGTTTGAGTCATAGGAACTCGGATGAATTCATATCGACTTGAATGCGGTTAAAGTCATATAAATTGGAGTCGGGTGATTTATTGAAAGGCGGGTGACTCGCATGATTTATTTCAAGATTTATTTTTTATATTTATTATTATTATTTTTTATATTTATTATTATTATTATTTATATTATTATAATATTGAATTAAATTAAAACATTTTTTTTATATTTATGAAACTTTGTGTTCACACATGTTTTATCACAGTAAATATTTCGCGGCTTGATACGAGTTGATTCGAATCAAGTAAAATCTGATTCGAATAAAGTCGTTAAAGGCTTGATTCGAATGATTCGAATCACTTGATTCGACTTGGCACATCACTAGATGTCAGTGATTACGTCTCAAACATACAATTATAATTCAATATAAAATATACATTTCAACGAAAATAATGGAATAAACAAAATTATATAAATTAAAATCTTAATAAATCGCTGTTTTATAGTGTTCTAGGAACAATATTAAATTAGATATGAAAATGGGTTTTTATAGTGCTCAAAATAGTTTTAAAATGAGTACTTTTGCGTGTAAAAGCTATCATGCAAATAAAAGACGCATACAATGCTTTTTTCCATCTGAATGAAATTTTCAAGTTTATTTTTTCCACCAAAATTAAAAATTATCGTATTCCATCTACAATTAACTTGGTTTAAGAGATTTTGATGGATTCTAGAAAATACCACAACTTTAGTAAAAATGATTTTCAAACAACTCATGATTTCATGAAAAAAAAATCCATTCAAAATAAACAACCAACTTCTCATTATTATATCTCTGAAAGAATAGAAGATACATATGAATGGAAATAGAAGAAAATTGAAGGTCCTTTTCTGACTAATTATTGCTTTTTATTATTTTTCTGTTACCCAAAAAAAGTGCACGGATGCCCAACCAAAGTGTCTTTCGAGCCCTTTGACCCTTCGCCGTTTCAAAATAAAACAAGTTACGGTAAAATTTATGATAGAGAAAGTTGTAGCTCATTTAATTACCTTTAAAATAGTATATTACAAGTTATGATAAAATCAGAATTAAAATAGTTATAATCCAATTAATGGGGGGGGGGGGGTGACGGAGTGCAAATTGTTTTCACTTCTGAACTTAAGATTAAGATTAACATATTATCAAAATATCAAGCAAATTGGGCACAGTAAAAAAAATCACAGGGCACATGCTTTTTTTCCTCTCCGTTTACTGCAATAATTTGTTGATCGTAGGTTGAATAGAGAACATGTGAACAAGATTTGAAAGATTAATTCACTGCAAATATGTTCTTAAAAACAATGTACATTGAATTTTTAGTGAAAAAAATGTAATTTTGATATTAAAATTACTAAAAGCCAGTTAAAATATGGTTCGAAATTATAAAAATTATAGGCAACATTATTGAAGCAATTATTTTGGTAGAAAAATCCAAGGTGATATTGTACCTTTACCGCGTATGCTATACATTAATTCTTTCTGAATTTGTTATACCTTTTAAAACACTTCCATTTTCAACACGTGTATCTTATGCTATGACCATAAATACATCACAAAAGCAGACGATGATTTTTTGTGTCGCCAATAAACAAAAAATCGTTCATTTGTACATCCACATCTACAGGTATGACTAAAAATATTGGATAAACCTTGGCACTAAAATAAATCGAGCTATTGGAAATAAATTTGTTCTATAAATTGCAATGTATAATTTTTAATATACAATTTTATTGAACATTTTTTATTATTTTTTAAAGGGATAATTAAAGTGTTAACCGTGGGAATTGAGAATCATCATTTTATTTGAAGCAGTGTTACATACACTCATATATTGGTGGTAATAGTAATTCGAAAAACAATAATTATTAATTTTAATTGAACGGTAAATATTAGTACAGGATGTTGAAAAAATGTAGATGGGTACAGGGCAACGTCTGTCGGGTCATCTAGTATAGGCTTTCAATAGACACAGGTATTTATAAATTAAATTAAAAATTATTAATTAATTTCTAATTTTGAATACGTCTGCTATTATTTTAAAGAATTGGATGAATTTTTGATTCTGCCAGATTTACGACAACATAATCCGCAGAAAAAAATCCAAAAGTCCTCCTAAAAAAGTCCAAAAACATATAGATTCTGGAGACATATTTATTTTGCCTTCAATAACTTCTTTGCGAAAGTTACTTACAAACGTTCCGATGCATAGTGGCTTTTCCGAAAGAACTTTCCCAACATTGCAGTCATCATCTAAGTGATGATAAAGATAAATATTGCATAATGATGTTTGATAAAATTTCAATAATTTCAAGATTATGGTGTAATTTTCGAAGAGCTTGCTAATGGTAGAATTGAAGCATCTGCCGATCATGCACTGGTGTTTATGATTAAGGGCTTGAAGGAAAAGTGGAAAGAACCAGTCATTTTTATTTTACTCATGGTGGTGTTAATGCTCTCAATTTGAAATGTTGCATTGAAGAAGTAGAAAATATACTTAGAATTGGTTTAAACACTGTGGCAACAGCTTGCGATCAATACCGTGTAGATCGCAAAGCTGTTAGCATGCTTATAAATGAAACAAATAAACATCATCGTAGAAAAAATGATGATCACAGATTTCAATTTGAAACAAATGGCCATCCAACAGTTTCGGTATTTGATCGTCCTCATATATTGAAGTGTATGAGGAATAACTTTGCAAAATGCAATGTCAAATTTACCAGCACAAAAGGTCTACAACACGAAGCTGCTCGGAGTGATATTCTGAGTTTTAATGAGTATGACTAAGTTAAGCATATATCGATGTTTTCCCACTTTAATCACTTGACATATTTACCAAAAATCTTTAAAAGTCATTAAAGTATCATTAGCGGCAAAAGTTTTCTCAAATCGTGTAGCCATTGGACTTCAAAATTCATATTTTACCAGGGTAGATGTTTCGGCAACTACCTATGGCACTTGTTCATCGACTGGTGGTTTGATAGCGTTAAAACGGCGTGTCAGTAACCCCATAAACTAGTAATTAACTCCGATGTGCTATAACAAATAAATCTGAACATAATTTTGGTTTGATGCGGAGCAAGTATTAAATTCCTTGATTTGACCATGCGTCAAAAATTGGATTAATACTATTAAGCGTTTATAAGCAATATATTTGGCCAAAATTAAATAAGACAGGGTTTGATACTTTATGTTTAAGATATTTTAACCAAGATACATTGGATTTTTTTAGTAGTATCAGAAGCCAGGACGGTTGTAACACAAATTTTAACTGCTTCAAGTTTATTCAAGCCTTCAAAACTTTAAATTGTTAATAATTTGTCAATGAATTCGGCCCTTTCAAAACATTTTTAATTGATGATAAAGACACAAATGAAATTGCAGCCATTGACATGGAAAAATTATTCCAGATTTTTTTCTCTTCAGGCATTTGCATTCGTACGGAGAAATAGCAAATTGAATTAGTTAAAAAAAATGCTCGGCATGTATATCTGATATCTTATCAGAACCAATCAACCAGGGCTTCCTTCATTAAAGCAAGAGATCACACTGGAAAATCTCTTTTCGTACTAAGGAAAAAAATTTATGATTTGTTCAGGAAATGCAGTAATGTAATCGATTTTTTATGCAGGATCTATGTGTCGAAAACAGTCTAAAAAATACACATCAATTCACAAGCATGTTTTATTCGAATACAAAGGCTATGGGCGCATTGCCATACAGAATCGGCCCCACCCTGGTATTTAAATAATTTATACGCCATTTTATAGGTCTATTTAATAAAAACCAATATACCAATTTTCAACTTTGTACCTCATCTTATGGCCGAGATTTCAAACTCACTTCTTAGCGTAACCATAAAATATATCGAAAAAAATTTTACGTGATTCTACTCACATTGACTCAGACCACATTATGTAGAACAATCGATGCTAAAAATCGTTTATTATTACCTGAAAAAGACAAAATAATTTTTCAATTGATGGTTTCCGGTAGTGCGCTTAGTTGGACCACTTTCTAATTAGCGTTATTCGAAAGCCTATTGTTTTTTCTTTGAGTGTTGCAAATATTGTTCAAATCAATTTGGTGGAAAATTGAAAAAAGCGGAGCCAGCACACCCGCGCGTAACGCTAATAGTCCTGCAATTGCATGCAGTTCGTTCGGACGCA